AACACAGAGACTTATATTGCTTACAAACTGTATGGCCATGGCAGGCTTCTTGCTAACTGTTCTTATATCTTAAATTAATCCATTTCTATAAATCTATACCTTGCCACGTGGCTCGTGGCTTACCGGTACTTTACATCTTCCTTGTCCTGGCGGCTGCTGCAGGCAGTGACTCCTTCTGCCTTTCTGTTCTTTCTTTTCTCTGTTAGTCCCGCTTATACTTCCTCCTAGCCACAGCCAATCAGGTTTTATTTATTGACCAATCAGAGCAACACATTTGCCATACAGACCATCCCACAGCACAGCCAAGTGCAGACCATCTCAGACACCTGCACTCAGGCTTGTGGTCCTAATCATCCTCTATGTGGACCTGCTGGGTAAAGCCATGAGGAACCCGAGAACGGGCTCCCACAGGACATACAGAACATCCCATAGCACCAGGCACTTTTGAAATTACAAAAGTAAACTAGAGTACTCTTTATAGATAAGAGCAGGTCAAAATTTAAAGCCCCCCCCCTTTTTTAGCTAATTCACCAATAATACATTATAAGTAGTTTTTCCTCCTGGTAGGAAAACGCATAGGTGATAGTGTAGATATAAAATGCCAGCGGCTGCCAAGATTCCCCAAATATCTCATCTGCAGGGCCCAGTCACCACAGGTAGCCTCTCAACTACCTTTGTCTTCAGGTGGCCATCGTCCCTTGATTGAAATGGGGAGGGCCCAAGTCACCTGAAGAGCTGGAGTTCTTGCTCTTGGCAGACTCACTGAAACTGGGCATCTAAGTTCATCTCTGCCATCTTAAGCTTCCCCTATTCCAAAAGAAATTGGGAAGTAGAATTCAGTAAACAAAAGTGGACCTGCTTCTAGTTTGGACTGTGTCAGCCTTACAATTTATTAAACATTTTCCTTTTTATTGATGGCGTGTGTGGGTGCAGGGTTATACACACGCACTCAGGTGTCCCCCGAGGCCAGAGGGCGGCTCTTGGATTTGGGTTACAGGTGGTTGTAAGCCTCCATGTGGATGGACCCTTGGAGCTGAACTCAGGTCCTTTGGAAGAGCAGCCAGTGCTGAGCTCCAGCCTTACAGTTTATGGGACACTGTTAGCCAAAGGCCAGCAGTCTGTCACCTATCTGTGACACAGCTTGTTTGGTCCTTTCCTGTGAGATGGGAACAGCCACCGATGTTCAGTCTCCTCCTCACAACAGTCCCAGCACTCTGAGCACCGAGGGCCACAAGTCAGTCTCTCTCTCTCTCTCTCTCTCTCTCTCTCTCTCTCTCTCTCTCTCTCTCTCTCTCTCCAGGATTTCAAATATCTGCTCTGCCCCTGCCTGCTCTCTCTTTCAGCATGGGTCATATTTATAATTAGATGCCCAGTTCATCCATTCAGTTCACTAAGTGGGGGGAAATCTTGTAGACTTTATTTTTGTGGTACTGGGCATTAAACCTGGGCCTCCTACATGCTCGGCAAATTCTCTGCTTCTGAGCTTCACCTCCAAGCCCATAGAGTTGACCTTAAAAATATCCCCAGTAGCCAGCCTGGTGGGGTAGGCCTGTTTTAGTTAGAGATTCTATTGCTGTGAAGAGACACCATGACCACGGAAACTCTTATAAAGGAAAAACATTTAATTGGAGTGGCTTACATTTTCAGAGGTTTAGTCCATTATCATCATGGTGTGACATGGTGGATGCAGGCAGACATGATGCTGGAGAAGGAGCTGAGTGTCCTACATCTTGACTTGCAGGCAAGAGGAAGTGGTCTGTCTCACTGGACGTGGCTTGAGCATATATGAGACCTCAAAGCCACCCCCACAGTGACACACTTCCTCCAACAAGGCTACACCTCCCCAACAAGGCCACACCTCCTGATAGTGCCACTCCCTTTGGGGGCCATTTTCTTTCAAACCACCACAAGGCCCATAATCCCGGCTACTCAGGCAGGAGAATCAGGCCAGCCTGGATTACAGAATGAGTTTAAGACCAGCTTGAGAACTTAGTGTGATCATATCTCAAAATAAAAAAGTAAGTTAGGATATAGTTTGGTGGTAGAGCATTTGCCAAGCATGGATGAGGCCCTGGGTTCCATCCCAGGTACTGAAAAACGAAATGTTCTTTTCAAATCTTCCATGAATGACATAATAAAATACAGTAAAGGGTAGTGTTACATTAGGTTGTTGTTGTTGTTGCTGCTTTTGCATTTTGCTTTGTTTGAGACAGGGTTTCTCTCTGTAACAGTCCTGGCTGTCCTATAACTCACTCTGTAGACCAGGCTGGCCTCGAACTCATGGAGATCTGCCTACCTCTGCCTCCCAAGTGCTGGGATTAAAAGTGTGCGCCACTCCCTACCCCCCCCCCCTCTGGCTGTGTTAGTTTTGAGGAACAAATATTTGGTTTGCAGAGTAGTTCACATTTACCTTAGGAGATCAGTAAAGACCGCACTATGTCATCAAGGATGACCCTGAGTCTTCTGTTTCCACCTCCCAAGTGTTAGAAGATGACAAATGTGTGTTGGGGGGAGGGAGGAAGAGGGGGGTGTCAAACCCAGGGCCTCATGTGCACCAGGCAAGCACTGTGCCAATGGATCATCGCCAGCCCTTCAAGAACTTGTGTGATTGGCATCTGGCAGCCGGTGAGGTCTCTTACCTGCAGGCATGGCTGGGTTTCCCCCTATGGCTTGGGAGATTCATTTATGCTGCGCCCTCACGGTCGGTCCTCTTCCTTTCTGTCTTCACTTCTTCCTCCCTTTCTGTGTGTGGTGGTGATGTTTGCCCTCTTGGCCAGGCATTGCTTTTACAAGAGGAATGGAGAGTTCTGGTGGGTTCTACATCACACCTTGGCCAGTGGCATGTGTCTGGAGGACTTAATGGAGTTTGGTGCTGGGCTAAGTGCATCTTTGGGCAGTGTTCACCATGTCACCTCTCTGTGCCCCCACCCCCGGGACAGTGACTTTGTGACGTAAGCACCCGTCAGAGTGCTGGGGACACAGTCACCTTGGATTTTGTCCATTGTGAGCTGTTGCCTCATGAAAAATTAGCATCAAAGAGAACAATTTCTGTTCCCTGGCCACAGTTCCCAGAGGATCAAGCACCCTGATGCTGGCGAATGAAAAGGGCTTTTAAGTAGCACACTGTTGTGTATGGTTCCCCCACCCCTTCTCCACTGCCTCTTTTTCCTCCCCTTCATTCCTGTGGCCTCGGAGGGCAGCTGTGAACCAGAGGTGAAGCCTTGAAGAGATTGTAGCGATGTGGTAGGCAACATTTACTATTCTGTTTGATGTCCTTACCCTGGCCCTCTCCACATGACCCTCAATCTCACAGCTCTCTCCTTATCCCTGGCTGGCCTAGACCCAGCAGATCGCGCCAGCAGCGAGGAGCCTCACCTCAGCTGAGTAGCTCACATTTGTATTTGTCTGTGGTGAATAAGTATCCCAACGTGATTTATGTGCCAGCTCTCGTGACGTTCACTTTCAAAGATGGAAAGTCAGCACTCAGCAATTTATGATCTCGGGGAAAGAACATTCTGGAAGAATGAAGCCAAGTATTTTTCATCTGTTCTGTAGGCTTTGCCTGATTCAGTCAATGAATGCTGCATCCCCTTTTGCAGTTTGAATTGAGTTCTGTAGCATTGCAGGAGCTCTCTGAGTGCTAGGTCATAATTATAAATTTTGGGATTTGTGGCATTGAGGTAGCTGGGAGCAGAGGGTGTGTGTGTGTGTGTGTGTGTGTGTGTGTGTGTGTGTGTGTGTGTGTGTGTGTAACTGAGGGTGAACTGGGGAATATCTAAGTTCCTGCTGATGTTGTTTGTACGTGTACAAATAGTGCCAGAGCAGCTGCTTATTTTTAGTTATATCCAGTGATTTTATGTGAATGCTCACGTGTGGGGATCCATGGACAACGTGTAGAACTCTGCTCTCCCCTTCCACCACGTGGGTCCCTGGGCTTGAACTCAGGCTGTCAGGCTTAGCGGCAATGCATTCTCCCGCTGAGCCATCTTATCCACCTCAGCAGGACCAGTTCTCTAGAATCCGCCCCCCCCCCCAATTCAGGGGTGGGTGCTGTGAGGACAGTCATCCAGGGTCAAGGGGTGCCCCGTCACCTCTCCGTCTCCGATGTGCGCTCCCTCCAGCCCCTCACCCCTGGACCCTTTCCTCGGTTTCTCGGCATGGCAGCTTGCTGCTCCGATCCTCACCTCTCCTATGTTGCACACCATCCTCTGTGTGTTCACATGTTGTTGCACATATGTGTTTCAGCACATGTGTGTGGAGGTCAGAAGACAGCTCCGGCGTCATTCTTTGAGTGCTGTCCATCTTGCTTTTGGAGACAGCATCTCTCACTAGCTTTGAACTCACCTAGTGGACGAGGCTGGCCAGCCAGAGAGCCCAGGCATCCGCCTCTCTCTGCCTCCTCAGCACTAGGACTACAAGTGTGCACTACAATGCCTGACTTCTTAACCTGGGTTGTGGGGCTCAAACGCGGGTCCTCACGGTCGCAAAATGCCCATGTGACCGACTGAGCCGTGCCTCCCCACCCTGGCTGCCGTGACCCTTTCTCTTTCTTGGCTCTCACAGTCCTAACCAGAATCCTCATCACTAGCATGGATGAGATGGCAGAAACCAGGCACCTGAGGGAAAGGGAATTCCTAAACACAGGGCAGAAATGGAACTAGTCCCAGTTGGAGGCCATGGAGGCCATGAAGGGCCGCATCATACTGCCCCAAATCCCTGTCAAACGTCTCTTCATCCTCTCAGAAGAACTGCTCCCCTCCTCAAAGAAGGAGAAAGGTGCATGTGTTTGGTTTCTGTAGTTACTTTAAGATGAGTAAATCCCAGCTGAGGAGACAGCTCAGATGGTGAATTGTTTGCCACAGAAGCATGAGAACCTGAGTTCAGTCCCCAGAACCCATTTCAAAACGATGAGTGTGGTGGGGCACTTACCCTGGAGCTGCAGAGGTGGAGACAGGTGGACCCCTGGGGCTCACTGCTGGGCCAGCCTAGCCTCTTTGGAGAGTTCTAGACCAATGAGAGACCCTGCCTCAATTAGGTGTATGGCTCTTGAGAAATGATAAGGGGGATGGAGATTGGCCTCTGGCCTCTGCATGAGCATAGATGTATTCACACCCCATATATGTGTGCACATGCACACACATACACAGGGAGGGAGGGAGGGAGGGAGGGAGGGGATACCAAACTTGGCTAGGGAGCTGGCTCAGCAGGTGAGGGCACTTGCCACCAAGCCTGACAATTGAATCCCTGGAGCCCACGTGGTGGAAGAAGAGAGCCAACTTTCATTAAAGCTATAAACTCTCAGCTCATTATTGTAGAGGTATTTTTACCCTGGAAATAGGTTGACGCAGGAATGGCGGACTTTTTGGAAACTGTGGTTTGGAATCCAGATACCTGCTTTGCAATTGTGTGCATCTGGATCTGCAGGGCAGCTTGTGATTTGGCTTTAGAAGATGTACATTATGTAATTCAGAGAGAACGAGTCCTTTGGGGGGGTATGCAAATTCTCGTGTTGGCCAGTTCCTTGCCTTGCAGTGAAAGAAGAAACAGAAGTGTGCGAAGGGAGTATTCCATTTACCTACGTCTTTGAAATTCCAGGATGAGGACTTCTTTAGCATTACATTTTCACTCAGCGGAAGTAGAGGGAAGTTGCTCGAGCAGGCTCTGAACCAGCTTTGGCAGGAGGGTTATGTAGACTCAAGTCCCCACCTCACAACAGCTGTGTGTGTTCGCATGTGTGTAGGTCATGTGTATGTGCAGGCATGCATGTGTGTGGGGCCATAGATTGGCACCGAGGGTCTTCCTTGATCATACTTTCCCTCACGTATTGAGGCAGGCTGTCTCACTTGAACCCAGAGCTCACTGATTGGGGTCTAGCCAGGCAGCACGCTCTGGGGAATCCCCCTTTTCATCTCTAGGGCTGGACTCCAGGTGGCTACATATCTGCCCAGCATTACGTGGCTGTTTATGTTGCTGCAAACTCTTTACCCACTGGGCCATCCCCCCAGCCCTCACAACACCCTCTGTGTAACAATCATGGAGAGCATGGACTCCTTGAAGGTCCATAGGGCCTAAGGTACCATGTGACAGCCTGGAGTGGTGGTATATACTTGTAATCCCTGACTTTGGGAGATGGAGACAGGAGGATCAGGAGTTCAAGGCCAGTCTCAGGTACATATCAAGTTTAAGGCCAGCCTGGGCTGCATGGTAACAGTAGAAAGGACAGATCTTATTTGATATAGTTTTGACCCTGCGAGGTGTTATAAAGTTCCTTGTCATCTTTGTAGGATACATGGGGGTGGGGGTGGGGAGCAAAATAATCGCATGTCTGAAATTGTAGGAATGAAGCATCAGTTACATCTCTTTTGACAAGCATTTGGATACAGAGGAAGGGTCTCTAAGATGCTCCTAGGTGAGGGATTAGGTCGATGGTGTCTTTCTGCTCTCCATCTATGGAGATTGGCAGAGAACTTTCAGACCAAACCTGTTTGTGCCTGCCTAAGAATGTGAGCACACACTTGGTAAGGGGTCAGAGCACGAATTCACTGTCATGAGTTCCCGCATTTCCAGGCTTCCTCTCGGCCTGGCACTCAACAGTAAATCAACCTTATTAAAACTGCTGTTTGGTCTCCCCGCCATATCCCTGTGGTGGGTATTAAGTGGGCTGGAGGACTCCTGAGGGTTGTTACACATATGGGGTTCCTGGGATCCAGGAGTTTACCAGGCATAAGCAATACCATCTGCCACTGTGTAATGGGGTGAACTTCATCAAAGGGCTTCTGTCCTGGTTTCATTCCATTGCTTTGATAAAACACACTGACCAAAAGCAACTTGGGGAGGAAAGGGTTTATTTGGCTTATACTTCCGGGTCGCAGCCCCTCATTAAAGGAAGTCAGGGCAGGAACTCAGGGAAGGAACCTGGAGTAGAAACCGTGGAGGAACACTGCTGCTGGCGGGCTCATGTGCAGTTAACTTCCTTACACAGCCCAGCACTGCCTGCCCAGGGGATGATGCCGCCCACAGTGGACTGGGCCCTCCTACATCCATTAAAACAAGATAGTCCACAGACCAACCTGATAAGGCCATTACTCAATTGAGACGCTGTCTCCCGTGATCCTGGGATGTATCGACAGTTAATACTAACGAGGACAGTTTCCTTTACTAACGTAGGCCAGCGCGGCCCCCAGCATAGCTTCCTCAGTTGTCGTCAACGGTGATTGGTTTTCCTTGTCTTGCTGGCTTTTCTGCAGAGGTCTAAGACACCCCCCACCCCCGTGACACACACAAGGAGCTAGGGGACTGTGGGGATAGCTCGGTGGGCAAAGTATGTGTCGCACAATCATGGGGACCTGAGTTCAGAGCCTCAGCACCCATGCACAAAGCCGAGTGTGGCAGCAGGTGCCTGTAACCCCAGTCCTGGGAAGTCAGACAGCTAGAATGGGGGGGTGCTGGGGGGTTCCCTGGGCATCCAGTCTATGTCAAATGAGGAGCTTTTGGTTTAGTGTGAGAGACCCTACCTCAAAAAACAAGGTAGAGAGTGTGAGAGTAAGACACTTGACATCTGCTTCTGGCCTCCATGTGTACACAGATGAGCACATACATGTGTGTATGTGCACCTGCAGGTACACACACACACACACACACACACACACACACACACACACACACATACACACCACTGGAGCTGATTCTCTCCCCGATGCTTTTTCCTTGGTCTATTAATGTTTCTGGAAATCTAGGCGAAAAATTGGTACAGGAGGCTTGCCAAAAGTTCAAGGCCAGCTTGGGCCACACAGTAAGATCCAGACCAGCCTGGGCTACATAGAAAGACCCTTTCTCCAGAAACAAAGGAAGAGAGGAAGAGAAGGAAGATAGTGAGGGAAAAGAAAGGCATCTTGAACAGGTCCCGATTAGAGCAGG